CCACCACTGTAACTACTGTACACCAGGATCCACAGCAGTGACCCACGAACACACCGAGTTATGACACTCGGGAAGTCCCAGGAAGAAATTAAACTGTCTTGGAACCCGCAACGAAATTAATCAGAAGAAAATTGGAGGAGTTGGAAATACAGTAAATCCACTTCCCTCCTTAGCAAAGCGGGAGACAAAATGAAGTAAAAATAGACATACACCCTTTTAAACAGGGAAGCACCAAGCCCACAAAATATTACGGGTCCTAGGTGAGCTATATTTGATTTCTATAATATGTATGGCAGAATCGCCTAAACGCACGGAAATTCACCCTAGTTGACACAAGATCCCCATAGTTTTAATGTGTATAGTAGTATCGTGGTAATGGGATGATCACGTCTGCCGAAGGACTGATGGCCTTTGGTCCCAGAGCGAAGATCGCACATCGGAAAGCGGTAGATACGACGCCCACCTATCCAACCCATCCAGGATTTTAAGAAAGTAGGTGGAATGGACTTAATGTGAAGGGCGGTAGACTGCGTTACATTGAAAAGATAATGTATGTTTATGTCAAGTTTCTTTTTAAAGTAAACGATTATTGATTTTCATAAGTAACATTTCAAGCCTTGAATCTGTCTTCCGAAAAACCACAAGAAAACAAGCGAGTGTATACTCAGAAGAAACTTATTTCCTCATAATAATATAAGACATATTCATACATTTCCGTGTAAAATATCAAAAACACACTTCAAAAAAGAACCTAATTTAATAATAAAGCTAAGCAGAATTCACCTATTTACAACATTTCACCTCCTGATTCTATTATTGATTGACTTGTCGAAACGTAAGATGTGCGGAGTTCTAGTATCCATCTCCTGACTCCATCATCAGGTCATCTCCAAAATGCCACATTGTACTATTGTCGTTTTATAATAAAAATAAATTCAAATATCACACACACGCTGTCTGATCCCAAACAAGCCGGAGCCTGTGCTATGTTAAACTGATAAACATACTTAAATATTTAAATGCTTACTTTTATTAGATAAATTACACCCAGACACAGAGACTCATTACACAGGATTTGTCCTGAGTACGAATCGACTTCCGGCTTAGCTTAATAGAGTCACTAACTCTTAGACCCACAGGCCTATCATGTTTTAGACATATATAAACTGCATAAAATTGACTTCCAATATTTATTAATATAGTTACAAGTGAGGCTGATAAAAGCATGTTAATAAAAAACCTCGCTATCCCATCACAGATATAGATTTTGTATTTACGTCAGCATACAGTTCATTTTTTTATCTTTAGGGAAAACAGGAGGTTCCCAAAGCTGCGTAGGTATTTATGGCAACTGTGTGGAATAATCATACGAACGTGAATCTGTGGTGTAATGTGTTTATCGACAAGTGAAGGGGGAATTTAGGAGTTGTGGCCAGATTAAGTCTTGACTGTTTTTATGGTGGGAAGTACCTACGTGTCTGCTGTTAGGGTGCAAATATGTTAAGTGTTGCGATACTTTACCAATTGAAAACAATTACTTAGTAAAAAAATCAATTATTATTAGTGTTTTTGTGTTACTATTAATAAGTGTTAGGAACAGTTTCTTTTATTGTTATTATTAGGAATACTGTTAAATAATAATTACACTAGATTATGGCGCGTGGGATTAGGTAATTTTTGCCTTTTTAGGGATATTAACTCAATAAAAACAAAATACTGATCTTACAGATGTCTTATCCCAAAACTAGACACTACTAGACAGAACCTGTGCTATGGTAACCAGTATTCTTATAAACATACTTATATATTTATTTACACACATACTAAAGATTAATTACACCCAGACGCGGAACTTAGGGCTTAACACACAATAATTTATCCCGGGCGGGAATCGAATCCACGACCTCCAGATTAGCTGTCAGGTTCATTAAGCACTAGACCTAGAGGTCAGCCATAATTCTTAGTAAAGCATTTATTTACATTATATAAGCTTAGAAAATCATATTCATCTCCCTACCATTTCCCATTTAACAAGTTATATACATCTCGATCACTACACTACACCTACACACCTCGATTTTAAATTTAAAAACTGTTCTCCGTTTAACAGCGTAGCACTTGGTATTCTACATTGAAAATCGTGTAGCTTTGAAACAAAACTTGAAATTGGTGTAGTCAATAAAGCGCACTACGTAGACCAGTTGGTAGTCAAAAGGTGCGCTCCGGTAACAAAGTTGAAGGTGTAACTGCGTAAAATATCTGCATGGTCCACCACCGAAAATGTACGCTAGCGTCAAAGTTGCCAGTATTGAGTTTGGTGCGGGTAGTGTAATCAAATTTGCAAGTTCAGTTTTCGTATCGAGACTTTTTTTATTGTATTTTGTTCTTTGTTGCCAGTGGACAAAACAACATTACATTTTGTGATTTGATTAGGTTTTAGTTACTCTTTATTTTCCATCACGTTCATACGGAATGGCTTTTATTGTCGACTTTATAGAATTGATGGCATGTGAATCTTTATTTTTTAGTTGTTGTAATAAAAAAATAATTAAAATTGAACCAACGTTTTCAAGTTATCGATTTTTACGTTAAATATATTATAAATAATTATACACAAACACCTATATAACAATCAAAGCTAAACCTTATCTTAGGCCGGCAACGCACTTGAAATTCTTGAGTTGTAAGAGCTTTGCTTGTGGAAATTGCCCCTATATCTTAAAAAAAAAAACTATCTAAATCGGTATTGGCTGCCGAGATTATTTTTATACGAGTACATATATATGTACAATAATTGTTTCGTTTCATGTTATAGTAAAAATAGTTAAATATTTACCTTTATTTTTTTGCGGTCATGAACTTTATACGGTCGTGAGTTGTATCTCCGAGCAACATTGAATAAAAATGACAGAACAAGAAATGAAATAACAGATTTACTGTTATTGAATTTCTTATCCTCTGCTTTTTGAGCAGGTTTTTACCATATCTACGTAAGTTATGTGATTGGGGAGAGATTTAGTTTTCCTTAAGATTATGGTGATAGAAATCTCTCAATCTCTAGGCTTATGTATATTAAGGAGGATTATCACCATAGAATACGATTATAATAATAATTATATTATTATTTAACAATGAGCTGCCCTCTGCTTGGAGATCCGGGACCCATCGAAGTAAATGTTTCCTAGAGTTTTCTACGGTAAGATGCCCCAAGCCAGATCTGCTGATGAACCTAAGAGGATAACTGAGAAAGATTATGAGTAGTTGTGGTAAGGGGAACACTGGATACTATGGCGTACGGAATAGACCAATGTCTAGGATTGGACTGCAAAAATATGATGTCTAATACTTAGGCCATTCTGATAAATAAGACTAGATATAAGACGTATGGTAAGTTTATTGTTTTTCTAAGTACATTCCCTCGCAATTAATACATTTTTGCATTCGCTGAAACCACTGTACAAAGCAGTTGGTCCAGTCTTCCTTAGGGACCTCTTCAATTGCTTCATGGAACGCATTCAGGGCTCATAAAACGTGTGCCTCCAAGTTCATCTTTGATTTTTGGAAACAAAAAGAAGTCGCAGGGTGCGAGGTCCAGGCTTTGAGGCCGGATGTGTCAACAGTTCTACATTTAAAGCCTTGAAATAGGCTTCTGTTACCTTAGCGGAATGTGAAGATGCGTTTTCGTGGTTAAGAAGGACATTGCTTCGAGGACGCTTTTCGCCAACCTGTAAGACTGGGCAAGCAAGTGTTGACGTACTAATCTGCTGTCACTGTCCTTTGATCTTCAAGCGATATTATAGTGTAATGGCCGAAAAATGAAGCAACCAGTTTTTTTTTTACCAATGCTTCGACTTTTCTTAATTTTCGTAGACAAATCTTTAAATAGAAAAACTCATTCTGCCGACTGGCTTTTTCTTTTGGGTTTAAAGCAGTACACCCAGGTTTCGTCACCTGTCACGATATTATAGACAGCCAATGACTGTCCTCCGTTAAACTTTTTTATCATTTTACGGCACCAAAGGACACGTAGTCGTTTCTGGTCCTCTGTTAAGTCATGACTCATTAGGTATCCATCGAGTGCAAAGCTTCCCAACCTTCAGGTGCACATGTAAAATATTTTGCACTTGGCTCATTCCAATGCCTAAGCACGAATTTGTTGGCAAGTAATTTTTTTTTGTCAGTTTCAATAAGTGTTACTAACTCCCCAGCAACACATCAAGTATTTATTCAAAACAACAACATTAAATGACAAAATGAGGTGTTTAAGCCTTAAATTCTTCAGGGGTGATAGTAAGGGGTCCGAGTAGTTATTGTTATGGGTTCTGTCTGTTTTTTGTGCATATTATTACGTTCTGTGTAATGTGTAGGTGATCTGCGGCTGTATCTTACATAATACCTCTTGATAACATTCTGTATTGTCTTGTGCACTGTAACTTATCTCTGATTTATATAAGTGAGGATTTGTAATTGGCTATCTGTTTTCTTGACTGCTTTTATTATCATCATCATAGCTGTAAATCCTCCATAGTTTGATATAAATAAATAAATAAATATATTTAATAATGTGTATCACTTATCTATAAATTATAAAATTAAATTAACCAACGCATAAGGTTGCTTAACTCTTGAAAAAGATCCCCCATTATGTCTGAAACCAGTAAGAAATATAAAAGTGAATCAAACTGTTTCTCTGTTATAAATCATAATTCAATTCTGGTGTCAACGTGTATACCACATTTCCATGATTTTCATGCATTAATGAGCTCCGGGACCCTCGAGGGCGTAGTGCCAACAAGTAGCTGAACTGCTAAGATAATAGTAAATTAATGAACTCGTAAAGCAAATGTAATATTATTAATTAAGTTTGTACATAAACGCACCGACTTGATGATAAATTGTTGAATGAAGTGGGATTATAATTATTACCAGGAAAAGAAACTATATTCATTGGTTGTAAGATTAAATCACACGGAAAATTTTGATACGGATTTGAAATGAAAATGTATCTTCATGACCACTTCTGTCATTGGAAGCCCGCTCCTAGACCAGTCTTTCATGAAGGTCAGTTGGAAACGGCAGCATCCATCATCGACATGCGAACTTTAGAGGTGGAAGTCCTATGCTGCTCTTTTTGGTACGTGGTTCACACTCTAGAACCTTTCGCCCCTAACGACTGTTCTGCTGCTGATCCATTAGGCTATGCCAGTAATCTTTGTTCTGCGTCCTCATTTATAATGTGATCCTGCATTACTCATAGCCTTCTCCATATCTAGTTAAGTGACTCTGAGCTTGAGTATCAAGTCTGTAAGAGGTCCTAATTCGGATATCATGCACTGCTATAAAAAACATTTGTACATATTTTGCATTAAGATGTGTTTATTAATATAACGTAAAATACAAGTTCTATTAAGTAGAAATTAAATTCATAAAATTTACTAACAACTTTGTAAAATCAATACAGACTGAGATCTGTAAGATAAGCCATCAAATTAATCACTTCACTTTTGTAGGAAACGTTAAAAGCAGCGAAAAAACCCTCTAAAATTCTTGCTCTTTTTCTTCTAAAAAACTGCCGAACGGGATTAACTTTCAACATACGGTAGCTAAATGTGAAATATGTGTAATCCATCGCAAAGGCAGACAAGTAACGGGGGCGTGAGCGAGTCCGGTCCCCGCTGGCCAATCAGAACGCTTCGTTTGATATTGGAGAGAAAGCATGTTTTATTTAGTTTTAGACATTTTAACCAAGGATTTAACGCGTCGGTCCGGGCAGTGTAATATTGAATTAATTTATGAATGGCAGACTGATTTTGATTTTAACGTAATTCAAATTCAAAATATCTTCATTTCATACAATTCTTAAAATTGTTTGAAATCGTCTTTTATGTAGACTGTAAAGTCGTAGATCAACACAAACACAATAGCAACAATCTCTGTTTTGTCAAATAGGATTTTTTTAAATTAAAATTATGCTTAGGTATACAATATCTCTATGATATGCCTGTGCCTTTCCACAACCGCTCGTTTCCAAGGGGTTGAGCCTTATGAGAAGATAGGGCAAACAAACTCATGGCCACTCTTTTGCAATGTACTGATAAATACAATGGCATCATTTAATATACCCAACATTGTTCCGATGTGTGCCAGTATGTCCGTTATTAGGGACTAAAAGGTAAAACAACAATAAAGAGAAAAATAAGCTAATAAAAAAAGATAAAATAAAAGAAAAAGTGAAACATAAGAAATAGATAAAAATAATATACAAAACACCATGTAGTTACACAGAGCGTCAATATTTAATAATTAATAGTAATAATTGTAATGTCACTTTTTCTTTTTCTACTATCTACTATCCTAATATAATGTAACAAGCCATTATATTCGTCAATCAAGACATTCATACTCTATGCATAGTAACCGAATTTTAGTGAAAAGCCTCCATACCTCAGCATTTATCCGGCCGTTCTCTAGCTACATCGGATTTCCCCGGCCAGTCATTTAAGGTATAAGACTCCGGCCGTACCGAGATAACTTATTTCACTCAGCAATGTCCGTAAGAACTTTATCTCATCGGTCCCAGGTTACATGGGAGTGCTTTCTGCTAACGCAATAATATTGTATTTTCAGCAAAAAATATTTACTTTTGTGTAAAATAAGTGGGAATATATAGGTATATTCACTTTTGTGTAAAATAAGTGGTAATATACCTATCACTACTTAGTATTTTTCTGTTAATGAGGATGAAATAGTTTTGTGGAGAGTATGGGCTGGGCTTGAAGTTCATGAAGAATTCTTAGAACATTTGGATGTGATTGATAGTGAGTAATTAATAGAAAAGGTGTATTATTTAATTCTAGGTCTATGATTTGGCACTAGTTAAGGTAGTACCTAACTATTATAATATATAGGATAAAACCTAACATTACTGCCTTAAATTTTTCAACATCACTATCACTTTTTCCCACTCAAGTAATTAGTATAAAATTATATCTAGTTTCTACTCATATAGTTGGTTTGAAAGCCAACAACGACTTCATTTGCATTGGTTTTAGTTTTTATCTACAATATGTATGTATTTACAAAGAAAAACGATGTGTGGCAACTGCCATGAGACACAAAAGTAGCGTATTATGACATAACCTGCGTAGATATCGCACGCGACGTCGAAATCGTATGCAACGTCAAGGGACACGTAACTTTTGTGTCGGGTGACAAGGTCGCTGGACAAATGTCCCCTCGTCAAAATGGGGGTTTAATAATTGGATCAGATCAACTGTCAATTAAACCGTACATTGTTCTTTTTCATTATTAATAGAAAGCGTTAACTAATACAAGTATTTATTACTTTGGAAGTTATGAAATACTCTTTGATGTAAGACTTGTGTTTGAACATAACTGTTATTAAGACAGTTTATGAAGATAACTTTGAGATATTATTTAGTTGTAGGAGATACAGTTAATTAAATGTTTTGAAGTAGTTAATTACTGTAAGAATTTGAGCTTGGAAGCAATTTGAACAATTTGGGGCTCTTCGACTCGATATGTTGAAACTGAATAGCACGATCGATCACGGTCTGTCTCTATAAGTCTAATACTTTGATTTGATTCTTTGATTTATAAAAGACAACTCCCGCATTAGGAATGTATCTTGTGTGGGGGACTTTACAAACATACATGAAACGGGCACAAAGAACACCGAGACTCAGAACTACAATTTGTGGATCACACAAAGTGTCGTCCCATGTGGGGATCGGACCCACAGCACTCAGCGTAGTTGGAAGCGGCGTGGCGACCGCTTAAACCACTACGCCATCCGTGCAGTATTATTGTATACCCTATCTTATAAAGATACGTGTATAAATATTATATCAGTAGTATATTGTTATGCCATACTGTACCAGGTAACACTAGGCAATATTCCGTTGCCTAAAATGCCAAGACAATATTAGGTTGAAAACTTCAGCAGTGTACGAGCCCTTTTAGGTTTATTTCAATACGTCTCTGTCTACTCCTTTGGAGCTAAAGACATAGTATATGTATGTATGTATTCTTTACAATAATGGAGGATCTAATTGGTAAAGGTTCAGAACGCGGTTAAAACAGCTGTCCGGTGTCCGGTGTCCAGATTCATGTTTAGAAACTACTACTTTTTACTTTTCTCCTATTGATCAAATTAACAAAAAAACCGCCGACTTTCCTTTTAAACGTTATAACATATTTCAGTTAATTTCACAATAAAATACTAAGGAAAAAATTTTGATCAATTTTTTCCTTAATAACTTTTTCAGCTAACATTGACTTAGTTGATTAAATATTATCAAAAGAGAGACGGCTTCGAGCATTCCCGTAATATGTACTTCGTATAAAATTCCAAAGTAAACGATTTTAGAGAACTTTTATCGGCTCTTGGGCGGCTCCAATACAAAGTTCTTTCAAACTTGGGGTCTATATATGAAACTTATGTCTCGAAGGAGTTTTGGGTCCCTCGTGGGTTCTATTGGCTCTATTGAAAATGACTTTCCGTGCAGTTTTATCTGTATTCATTATATATTAATTTCATACCGTGACACCACAGATTTAAAAAAACATTTGATGAATAAACTTGAAATGTTTTTTATGTGGGAGAGGCAAGCTTTGGTGTCACGGCCTCATAGAAAACCAGTTTTAAACAATGCTTGCTATGAATAATGTAACTAAACCTCCGTCTGGTTACCATAGTACAGGCTCTGCCTAGTTTGGGATTAGACAGCCGTGTATGAGATGTGAAAAAAAAAAACTCCTTATTTATTATATGTAGGTATTTTGTCACCCGGTCTAAAAGACAACTTTTGTGACAAGCATTTCGTTTAGTTAGAGCGGAAAATAACTATTAATATATCATATGAGCCATTTATAAAATAAACACACTGATGAAATCTTCTAGAGGAATCATTGTGTAGAGATTACACTTAAATTTGGTAGGAGAGGTGAATTATCTTTCTATTCTAAAAATCGCTACATATTATTAAATAAAGTCACTTCTTCTGTCTCTCTCTATTTGAATACGATATACTTACTTAAGAAGAAGGTACTAGCCTTATTTCGTGTTTTTACATATAAATCTAGTAAATGTACTCAATATAAAAAATAATACATCACAGAAAATGTAAAAATATATGCTTTACTATTCTTGCGAAGCTTGGACGGATACCTAGTTAAATTTAAACATCATCTTTGTGAAGATTTTAATTTTTACCTGTTTCAGCATTTATTGTACAAACGATGCCTCATTTTATTCATAATATATAAGTGTCACATTTAAGATAAAAGTCGAGATAAAAAAATGTAACTATTGTCGGGCAATCGAATAGTTAAACATCAATACGGTATCTTTTTGTTTGATGACTTTATCCGTACTCGAGATTGGCGCTGAGAGGCTCTCAGACGAAGAGCACTCCACGTTTAGCACAGAGGCGTAGCGGAGAGGAGTAGGAACGTCTTTGACGCTACAGACAAGTCATTAATATGAATTTAAGATACGTTAATTGAGATCACGGTAATATTTTAGAGTTACTATACCATTTCCTTGACTAATTAAGTGCCTGTCCTGATAGACTTTATTAGGGACAGCGAATAAGTCCCGCTCTACACATTTCATTGACTCTAAAAACGGGTTTAAATAATTCAACAAGTCTGAGACACCTATTCTAAAAGGACCTAAGTCGCCCGGGCTATCTTTAGACATCCAATTAAACTAAGTAGTTCATTAAGTGAGAAAAAGTCATTAAGCTTAATATCCTAAGACCTTAGTATCCAACTAGCTCCAGACGCTTAATTATCTGACTCTCTCCCGCCGCGGACGGGTTAATTTTACATCTTGTTAATGATTTAACACCTAAGCCTTAGTAACACTTCTAAGAGTACCTATTAATGTTGAGCACTTGGGTGGTCTTAGGGAGCTAACTACGCAGGACAACAGCACTGCAAACAGAAGGAAAACTTGACACAAATCCACCAACCCGTCTGACCAGCGTGGTATAGTAGGCCAAAATCACCGTTCTAACGAGAGGCCCTTCATCCAGCTGTGGACTGTTAAAGGCTGTTGATGTGATGTGATGTGGGTGGTCTCCTTTTGTTCATCACAGATTTCATTATCATATTTGTAATGTTGATGAAACAGACATAAGTTATTGTCGAATAGGATTCGGTGATGTCTGTTTGATTCCTTTTTAATGTGTTTCATAAAGCCGAGTCTGTACAT